GGGGAGAGCCAAGCATTTCACACAATTCCTCACCTCGGGCAAGCGGGGGCCGGCACATCGGGAAGCATCAAAGGGTGGCGTAGATTCTTCGGTGGAAGTTTGCGGAAGCACAACAGGGGTGGCCTCGTTGGCGAAAGCTGGCAGAATAATCAAATTCAGTTTTCCGCCCTGGGAGATGTCAAATTTCTTGGAGTCAGGGTTTTGGTGGCTGGCCAGACAGTTGACGCGCGGCACTGGACCAAGGTCAGCGCAGCACCCTGGAGCCAGGGTTCAGGCCTCGCCCAGGATGAGCTAACGAGTGCGACTGACTTCAACGTCACCAGATTGAAAGGAGGCGCTGGCACTTCGGAGTGGCAGAGGGACTATATGGTTGCCCAGCACGGTGCAACCATCTTGACGTCCAAGCACGATATGGGTTGAGCAGCGACAGTGCTAGCCGTGGGGGAAACGTGAGCCAGATAGAGAACAGCTGAGGATCGTCAGTAGCTGTAACCTTGACGGCCGCACTCCGCGCCGCGCATCGACGAAGCGACACCGGGTGCGCGAGGGAGTTCTATCGCTGGATCGTCACAGCAGCCCCAGCGGACATCCACCGCGACGTGGTTTCCGAGGAGCTCTTGGCGGGGCGGCGGGGTGCTCTGTGCAACACGTGACCTCTGCTCCCGAACGAGGCACTCTGCCTGCCCTCTCACGGTGAGCTCTGACAACAGTGGTCAGCCACACGATTTGATATGCTAAGCTTAGCTTTAGCCGTCTGGAGCCAAGCGCCAGTCCTCGAGAGATTACCGTTTCGGGCAGCATAGTTTGTCGTAGTTTGTCGTCGCATAGCATGGCTTTGCGTGGCCCAACAGAGGAGACTGAGCTCCGTCCTAAATCCACATGGATTGGGCGAACATTTGTAACTCCAACTCATTTCAACATAAGAGAGAAGAAGTGAACAGAGTTGAGCTAGACATGATCTCAAGTTCAGGGCTCAATTGAACTGCCAGTGCAGAATCTGGATCCAGCGTCTACAGCTAAACAGACGGAGTCGAGTTAGACTTCACAACGAAAACTGGAGCCGCAGTTGAAATTAAAGTGTGAAATACAAGAGGGGTTCAATGCCAGGCTAAAGGCAAAGCCAGTGCCGCGAGGTGAAATATCCCGTCACAGAGAAAGACGCGTATTCAGGCTGAGTCGAAAGTTACATTTTAGGTGACAAGTTGCAGCAAAAAGACAAGGCGAAACTCAGACCGCATGCTACAGCTGAAGCGGACGTCATCGCCCGACGCTGTAATTCGTTGACGCTAGCACGCTACGCCACCACATGGTGTGGTGACGTGGTGTCGTGGTAATGGAGGATGACGATTAATAAATGATGGGGGGTCGTGTTCACGCGGCGGCGCCCGGGATGACGATTAGAAAAAACCGGCCGCGGGCTGGAAAACTATTTTCTTTCATCGTTCTCCGCCAGTGAGAAGCTTGTGCAGAAACGGCAGGAAATTATGTTTTTAATCGTTCCCCCCTCATTTTTTATTAATCGTCATCCCGCATTATGGTGTTGCGGCCGCTGTTGGTGGTTGTGCGCCGATTCGGTTCAAAACGGCTTCGTTTGGCCAACAGAGCAGGTTTCGGATCGTTGGTCGGGCCTGGGTTTGCCGGTTTGGTTTTGGCTTCGGTTCGGTCATTTCGGTGTGATTCATCGGTTCACGTTTAATATTCCGGTTCGATCCCTCCATGCACCCTGACATTGCGACACCGCGACATCACCACGCAATTGCCAGACCAGGATACCACCACACCGTGACACCACAAAGCTACGGCAGCCACCATTCCACGGCTGCGCGATACCGCAACTGCGACACCTGGCCTGCTGCCCATCCCATAGCAAGAGCAGAAAATTCGGCCAAGCTACACGACCCAGCGGCACCAGGCTGCGGACAACCGTGCGCAGCTTCGCACTACGCAAAACATGAAATGACGATCTTTCTGCAGGCATGGCCTCACGCAGGATGTTACAAAATAGACCTCCAGCTTCGGCTCACCTGCCTTGAGATGGCGGAGCACAGCCCAGCAAAGTGGAGCAATGTTGTGCCATTGTTGCAATCAGTTCGTGCAGATCTGATCCCTCCTGCCATGTAGTTGCCATCCTTACCTCATCAATCCTGGCCTTGCACAGTAAGCATGAGCGTCGATGATTCATCATTGTATTGTTTAGTCGTCCGCTTTTCCGTCAATGCATCGTGATCTTGATCGAGGGTTTGCACCATGGTAGCTTCATTATTCATTTTCGGTCGCCGACGTCTCCGCAATCGTCATCCTCATCGTATGTGTCGAGGCCCGTGTCTCGACCGCATTGGTTGTTATTGGTTTTGAAAGCGAGACGCATCTCCACCGTCGTTGTCTTAAGCGTTGTCGTTACCATCGCCACTGTGGTTTAACGTTTGGTCCTCAAGTTTGCCAGCTTCTCTTCCGTTAACTCCATTGTCGTGTTTTTCTGTTTTCCCCAGTCTCTCTTCTCACCGCTTGGATCATCTTCTTTGGGATGACAGGGAAGGTTGGTTGCCAGGTTGCCACGATTTAAACGCTTGGTGTTTACTTTGATCGTGTTATAATCTGTCGTCCTCGTCGTCTTTTCGTCTCCGTCTGCCTCTGCGCCTTCTCATCGCCTGCCCCATCATCTTCCTATTGGGCCACAGGCTCCGCCGCTGTCGGCTGCACACGGTCGGCCACTGCCCGCGGCGTTAGGATGCCAGGAGCCCGCTGCAGCGGCACCCGCCGAGCAAGGCACTGGCGACGAGGAGGAGGAGGAGCAGCAGTACGGCAGGCTGATGTCGTGTCGACGCAGCGACGGCCCAGCGCGGGCGTTCAAGGTTGGACGCCCCTAGGGCCTTCGAATAGTCGAATATGGAACGATCTGGCGATCGAAAAGCGGCCGATCGCTCGAGGCTGAACGATTCACGCGACATCGTAAACCAACGCCGAAGTCGTCACGACACGAACTTGCCGTAGCAGATGCAACCAGGGTCATGCGACACGCAACTCGTCCAAAGCATTTTCCTCGCAGGGCAAACGTAGTTCTCCTACCAGGTCGTCCACTGCGGAGCGCGGATGCAGTCGCGCTTCGCGCCTCGCGGCCTGGGACAGAGAGCCGCCCCTCTCCAGGACGGCGGCGCGAGAGCGCAGCGACAAGAAAATGCCGCTGGCCGCAGCTCGCGCGGGCCGCAGCAAGTAGCCCCCACGGGCCCCTGCCCGGTCCCGCTTATCATCGTGCCCCGCGCGTGCGCGTGCAAGCACAACGGATATCAAGCCAGAGCAAGCATTGATCACTTGCTCGCGCAGAAAACCTGTACTGTTTTACTCCCGAGTGCATTTTCATATTTCAAGGCTATATATCGGCTCGATTTGCGGTATATGATATCGCTACTCGTGCTATTGTCTGTCTTCACCCTAAGTTGAGAATCCGGGAACTAGCCGCCCACCAGAAACGGCGACCCAGAATTGGCAACCCGTGAATCCATCCCGCCTTTTCCTTCCAGCGGGGGTCGGCGGCAGAATTGTCCAGAGTCTATGGTGCGTTTCGGTCGTTGACGCCGAAGCTTGGCTTCAGTATTACATGACATTTTCTTTTCACTGTGAATTTAGGAAACAACGGTGGCCCGCTCTTCAGGATTGACCGTTCGGTCTTTATGCGTCCGTTGTGGACATCATTTTCCATGCGGATGGTTGGGGTGTTCGGGTAGGAGCCCATTCTTGAACATCGACGGCCGTTTTTTCTTCGATTGCTATTTGTTTGTCATCGTGAATGTCCAATGGGCCCAGGATGCGGCCTTTCAAAACCGCTTCGTGTGAGCCATGTCCGTTTCTGGAAGTTCTTGAGCTGACACCGGATGTTTTACATTCGTTAGGGAATCCGTGGTTCGGGGATGATTTCGGGCCCGAAAAGGTGAAGGATTTGATATTTCGGCCGAACGCGTCGCAGCACTTGGATGTGCGACCCCTTTTGAAAACCATGTGTTTGCGGTCTTCGATTTCATATGGCTTGTGATTGCTCGCGTGGCATGTCTTCCTTGCATAATTCCGCAGATGCGCCGCTGAATTGTGGAATTTGGTCAACCCGCTGGCATCGTGGGGAAGGGAGAGGAAGGAGGAGGTCATGATGGTCCTGGCGCGGAGGAAGTGGTGGAGAAGAGGGGCTCGAATTACGCAGCAGGGTGTTATAGTCTCTTTGTATCCCTAGGGTACTGCTTGTCATCCGTGAAGTTCTTTGCATGTCAGCCGCCCTCCCTTCTCCTCTCGCCCTCCTCCGCGTTTCGAAGAAAGACCATGAGAATTTAGGACGGGTCGGCCCAGGCTTCTTTCCTGGCCGCAAGGGCCCAGCAGTTTCCGTAGTTGAGGCCGCCTCCACCAGGATTCGGCGCGAACATGCCTTGCGCTGTATTGCTCCTGGAGTGTTGCACGGGGAGTAGATGCCTAGGCCACGTAGACTGACTGCGGCCAGGCGATCTCTAGGCAACCCCCTCCTCCAAGCCAGAGCACCCCCTCTCAGTCGGAGGGAGGAGAGGTGACACCACCACCACCACCACCACCACCACCACCACCACCACCACCACCACCACCAAGGTGGCCACCTCCAGCGAGGGGGTCCACGGTGGTTTCCGAACTGGGGACGGAGAACGCCTCGAGCGAGAGGAAGGGGGCACTCTACAAGGAGGACCCTCCCTGGTGCCTCGCGCTGGTGGAAGCGGTGTCGCCTTTCCCTGACTTCCGCAGAGGCGTCTCTGTTTTTCTATGCGCGGCCCCAGAGTTTCCAGAGACCCCGACTCCTTCCCGAGGGCCAGTCATTCATCCTGGATCCGTTTTAGATGGCCCTAGGGCCCCATCACGGGCCCGAGGGGCAGAAATCGAGGAGCATCGCTCGGATTGAGAAACATATCTTGCGAGATCTGGGCTCCTTGTTCCCACATTGCTGCCTCCATCCTCTGCCCCCCGCGCGTGCGCCCGCGCAGCTCACTCCAGCGATGGGCGCGGAGCCCGCAGCGGCGCCGGCCCGTGCGCCCGCCAGCGGCGCCGCTTTCCCCGCCTCGGAGGCCAGCTCTGCAGCCTTGTTGCCCTCGGGCAGTGCCACGGGGGTCACCAGTACGACGGGGCCACCACCACCTCTCTTTGGCTGTCTGGGGGCTGTCTCCAGGGCCTCTGGGGCCATGTCGGACTCTTCTTGGACCGATGTGGGCCCTTCTCGAGGACCTTGGGCTGTCTCGGAGCCGTCTGGGAAGCCGCTTGTGCCGTCTAGGGCTGTGGGAAGATTGCGAAGGTGGCAAAACGAAAGCCGCTGAGCAACCATGATAAGATCAATGTTTTTGCCAACTTTGGATCTTCCTGGAATCGAGGATTGAGGAAGTTTGGGACGTTTTGTCTGGGCGTCTTTGGGCGTCCTGGGGGTCCAGGGGGGTCCGTTTCCTGGAGGATGCCGTGGCCCCCCGGTGATGACTCCCCGTGGCATTGCCCAGTTTGCGCCGCTGGAGGTCTGTCCCTCAACGTCGGCCTTCAATCGGTTACGCGCAAGAGTGAACCTATGCGAGATTGGCCTTGGGTGACGGCCCACTAGAACTTCCACTGTCGCTGCATGCGATGCGACAGCAGCGGCTCGCGCGCTGGGGTGCGGTCAGCCCCGGCGCCCCCCGAAAGCCGTGTAGCAAAGGTCATTTTTGCCTCGGGCCACTCTTCACGCAGTGGCGAAGCGTCCTGGCTCGCCTATAGGCCTACCAAACAATGTTCTGAGAACCTTTGTGTGGTTTCCACGAAATGTTCTTAGAACATGTCTGAATCAATACTGTCTTGGTTTCACACATGGGTTAATATTCTAAGAACATTGTCTTTGTTCTTAGAACTTTTTATTGTTCTAAGAACATGTCCTGGTAGGCCTATAGAAATGCCGGGACGGTCGGTCCCTGCTCAAGCTCTTGCCTAGGGTCACTCTTGCGCGTAGCCGACTGTAGGGAGCCCGATTTGAGGCCCAGGGGGCCGCCCCAATCGATCCTGGACAAAACATCGACCAGGATGGGCTCTGGGAGCGATCCGGGGGCAAGTTTTGAATTGATCTTCTGGCCGGAGCGAAATGAGGGAGAAGGAAGAGAAGGAGGAGGCCGATGAGGTCCCCGCAAAATCCCTGGCTATGCGTGGGGTGCAAGTGCCCTCGGTGCCCGTTCGAAGAAAGAAGACAAGCGAGAGCTTCGATGTGCGCCTGCGTTCAGTTTCGAGCCCTCCCCATTACCATTCCATTGCCCCCCCTCTCTCCCTGGCTCTGTCACTTCCCCTGCCCCTCTCCGCTTCCAACGCACCCTACCCCTCTTCATTCCACCGCCCCTCTCTCCTCCCTGCCGCTGCTACGTCCCCTGCCCACCCCCCACCCCATCCCAGTTCCCCTTTCCATCCTCCTGCCCTTGCCACTCTCCCTTCACAATTACACAACATGAATACTACTCTCCTCTCTCCCCTGGTGGCGTCCAGGAAATATCTGGCCCCCCTCCGCGTACAGATTTATTACACAGGATTCCCGGGAAGCGGGTTTTCGCCATTCAGATCTGCAGATGGTCGGTCTCTTCGCCAGGCTAATTCTATTCGGTGTGGAATGGCATCGTCATGGCTCAGTGCTGGCAGGAGATCAGTAGCGAATCGTCTGGTTCAGATGGCCGTGGGTTGGCTCTTCCATGGCGACGACGACTTTTCGGCGCCCCAGAATCATAGCGAGGCTCCCTTGCGGCGGGCGCCGTCCCAGCCAGAGGCAGCGACGGTGGGGGTTGCTACGCCCCGCGACCGTCCACGATCGTCGTGGGCTATTCCGTCGAGTGCGACGCCGTGGGCTGCGCGAGCGGCGAAGCAAGGAGATGTGCACAGCAGTGTGTCAGTGCAGGGATCGAGGAGTGGTAACAGTTCTCTGAATGATCCGCCCTGACCCTTCGGTCCTGTAAATCGTATGCAGCAGTTTCGAAGCACATCAACCTCAGCAGATGTGAAGCAGCTTTCAAAGCTCAGCCTCACGGAGCAACCTAAGTTTCTCAAGGCCCGTCGCCAGGTTGAGCGAAGGCAATTCGGGGTTCCCTCGGGGGGAGTCGCTCTCGCTCGTGTACATGTGAGCGCGCACTGCAGGTCGTACATATTGTATTGTGCAATGTGTAGCACAGTCGAGTCTAGTTCTGACCTTCGGCTTGATGCAGATCCTGTCTTGTCCCCTCTCCTCCCCATTTTTCGTCCGAGCCGTCCCTTTCCAACCCATCCCGTCTCCCGTCCTCCTCCTCCTCCTCCTCCTTTCATCCCGCTTGCCGTGGCCCCTGGGACAGCATGCTCAAGACACTTCTGGCATTGTTGCCTTTTTCCTTGACGTTGGACCTCTCGACCCAATCCGCGGGACTTGCTTTCCATCTCGTGCCCGTCTTGCTGTTGATTGTGCCGGGGCTCGGGAGGGGGCCTCGTTCAGGCCCGCATTGGATCAGAACATCCGCCCTTGTCTTTCGTGGCGCTCGAGGCCCAGGTCTCCTACAGGCCGCTCGTTAAAAGTATTTCTGGTGGTCACTGGTCGTCTTCCGCTTTGAAGTGCGCACCCCCTTGTGTTCATGTATGTTATGTTTCTCTGTAGTGCCCGCCGCCTCCTGGGGACCCGAGAGATCGGTTCCCCAGGCGGTGGGCATGTATAGTTGGGATCGGGGGTGCAAAACAGCTTTTGGCTGGGAGGGGTGCGGGTTTCAGATAAGAAAGCAGCCCTTGGTTTGGAGGGGTGAAGGCGTCAGGTGGAAAACAGCCCTTGGGGTCGAGGGTCGAAAGCAGCCCTTGGTTTGGAGGGGTGCACCTCTGCTCTTCGTGCTTGGGCGCTCCAGTCTCGTATCTTCTTTGAGCGGGGTGTCTCCGCGGGGCCCGGGGCCTTCGGCGAAGGTCTGTGATCCACCGGTGGCCCCAGGGACCCACAGAAGCCCTAGGGGGCACCCTGCAAGGACCTCCAGAGCTTGACGAATAGTAGAAGGAGGAGGAGGAGGAGGAGGAGGAGGTGCTCCAAAGCTTGACGAAGAGTGTGCTCGCGTATCGTACGCGCCCGCGAAGGACTCCCGTCTCGCAGATCCGCCTTCCTCACCCGAGGCCGCCGCGGCGCCGGCCGCGCAGCTCTGGGCCAGGCGGGCCCTCGCCGCGCCAACTCTCTCTTGGCACAGGAGCTGGGGCCACCACGAGGGTGCGAAGTTTGTCGCGCTTCGCGGTCTGGGCAATCTCAGATCGAGGCGCGAGTCCCTCCTCATCCTGTTCGCGGGGGGGGGATCGGCGCGAAAGCGCGAAGATAATCTCGCGGAGCGCGAAGCGCGAATGTAGTTTCCCTAGAGGAAGCGCTTGTCGCTACAGAGCCCGACCCATCGACTTCGAGGGGTGTGAAGAGAACTGCCATGAAGCAAACCCAAATCTCCGACGGCATGATTTTTTCTATTCCAGCGATTTTCCCCGATTTTGGCCTCTGGGGCATGCGATCCGTCCCTGGGGCTCTCAAAAATGAATCCGGGGCGAAAGCTACACCCATGGGAAGCAGTCGGGACCTCTTGCAGGGTTCGTTTCGATTCCGCCGATTCGATTCGATTCGATTTCGATGGCTTCCGATTCCGATTCGATTCGATTTCGGACTCCGATTTGGGATCCGATTTCTCACTGGAGGCCTGCTGGCCTGCCGATGTCTCCCGATTCGACTTTTCCCGACTCGGCTGCCGATGTCCGCCGATCCGATTCATTTTGATGGCCGATGCGACTCATCGATTCGATTATGGGCTCTCCTGCTCTTGGGCTGCGTATTCAAAAGATCACGTCGTTGTATGTTTAGTGACGGGTCCTGAGGGCCTGAGGGAGGCAAGTCCTAAAGATCTGCGCTGTTTCCGGGCTCCTGGGGCTTGAGCCGGTCCCTTGGGGAGGCCTTCGGGTCCAGGGTCAATTTCTGTGAGGAACCTGTCTTGTGCCTCACGAGGGCATTGTTTTCTTCGTGTCAAGAGTTTTCTTCGTGTCAAGAGAAATTCTCGTCCAAAGAATAATCGCCCTCTTCTTCGAGCAGGATGACGAGGACGATCAAAATTGCGAAGGCCTTTCGGCCGGTGCCGCCGACCCTGAAGGGAGACGACGACGACAACGGCGGCGGCGACGACGACGACGCTGACGTGGGCCAGAGTCGTCAGGGATGCTTCTTGCAGCTTCTCATGAAAGCTCTCGCGGGCCTCCAGAGAGGAATTCTGGGGCCCTTTGGGAGCCTCTTGGGGGCCTCTTGGGAGCCTCTTGGGGGCCTCTTGGGAGCCTCTTGGGGGCCTCTTGTGGGCCTCTTGGGGCCTCTTGGGAACCTCTGGGGCCTCCTGGGAGCCTCTCGGGGCCGAGGGCTCGAAATGTCCGATCGGGTCCCTTGTCTGGGCACGCTCTTGGAGCCGTCTTGGTGGGGGCCTCTTGGGCCGTCCTGGAGGCGTTTTGGGCTGTTTTGCGGTCCTCTTGGGCTGTTGTGGGACCCTCTTGGAGGCCTCTTGGGCCGTCTTGGGACTATCTTGGAGGCCTCTTGCGCCATCATGAAGCGGCAGGAAGAGCAAAAGGCGAGAAGAGCGCCCAAATCTGTTATGTATGTAGGTAGGTATGTAGATGTGTGCTGGAGGCCTCCTAGGCAGTCTGGAGGGCGTGAAGGCGTTTGGGACCGATCGTCTGGCGATTGGGGACCTTGGACCGTCTCAGGGGCTTCTTGGGAAACTCTTGGTTTGGTATCTGACCCCACCCCTACCACTCCCCGGAAGGGGCTTCCCTTCGACTCGATCGCGACATTGCTAGATTTTTTTCTCTTGCTGACAAGATTGGGGAGGAGGGTGCAGGGAAAGAGGACGACGGAGACGACGACTGACGGAGACGACGACTCGAACAGACAAACCCCCCATACACGCCGACAGCAGGGTCGGCGGATTTGTGCGCCCCTGGGCCCCTTGAAGATCGAAGAAAAAACTACATAAACGTGAACTTTCGAGGATTCGCGCGGATTTCTTGGGTCGGCGCCTTGGATCCCTTGACCGCGCCTCCAGTGCCGCCCCTGGCGCGCTCCGCGCGCCAGGGAGGGGGGGAAGCGCGGATCCAAGAAATTCGCGCTGACCTCCAAAAACTTATGTTTGTGCCCTTGTGTGTTCTTTCAACAGATGGGGTCCTGAGGGATGGGGTCTTAAGGATAGGAAAGGATCCAAGGGTTGATTTACATTGTTTGAGGCACCTCGTCCTTAGGGCCCCATCCCTCGGGGCCCCATCTTTGAACCACCGAGGTGGTGATCGTCGCGGTTCCAGATGGTGTAAATAGGTGCTCGGAGTGCTTTCGGCTCCAGAGCGTCAGCGTCGTCGCCGTCATCACTGTCGTCGTCGTCGTCGTCGTCGTCGTCGTCGTCGTCGTCGTCGTCGTCGTCGTCGTCGTCGTCCCCTGTCAGGGTCGGCGGTGATGGTCGTTGTGGTTCTGGAGTGGTCGGGGGAGATGTATTGGCATAAACATAAACTGTTGGAGATCCGCGCGGATTTCTCGTATCGGCGCTGGAGCCACCTGGCGGCACCTCTGGCGCCGCCCCTGGCACGCTCCGCGCGCCAGGCAGGGGGGTCCAGCGCCGATCGAAGAAATCCGCGCGGACTTCGGGACGTTTATGTCTATGTCATTGTTTGTTCTGTACTCTGATCGGAGATACCCAGGACCCTGGGTAAGGGGAGCCGGTCAGTGATTGGGCCACGACGCCCGAAGCCCCCCAAATAGACCACAATCGCTAGCCTAGATTTGCCGTAGCTGGTGGTTAGTGGAATGGGGTTTGGGGCCTTCCCCCAGTGCTTCACAATAAACCAGGTCCCTCTCAACCCAGTCCCGTGAACGCCCGATCTGAATGGGCCAACCATCGCCCCCCATCCCCCTTGGATCTGCGGGGTGCGTTGGACACGTGCTGTCGGAACATGTGGAGGGCGAGATGGAGGAGGATTGTCTCGGATGTATCCTTAGTCAGCGGGTCGTGCACTCGCACCTCAGCCCCTAGGGGGGCGGAGGGAGGAGGGGATTGACCAGCTCCGTCGGAAGATCGATCGCCCCCGCTCGATAAACATCCGATCCAAAGTGCTCGAAGGAGGGCGAGCCGAGACAACGGCGGCACTCTCGCTGGATTCGTGGGCCTCCCGAAGGCTCGTCGCCCTGGCCAGGTCCGCTGCGAGAGACGGATCAGAGTGGACACCCGGAGGGGCCCGAGGACCGATTTTGTGCAGAACTGGGCCAGGCTGGAGACCCGCACTTGTCTCAATTGGCCATCCTCCGTAGCACGGATGGAGTGGAGACGGACTCCGGCAGCAGTTCTTGCTCATTTTGGGGAGGGCTCGCTGTCGACGTCGCCGCGGGCGTTGTCTTCTTGGGTCACAGAGTCGCCTGCCCAACAGCAGCCGCCGTCGGCTTCCACCCCCGATCAAGCCACCCCAACCCAACCCGAAGGCCCAACTTGCTCTCCATTCCCAGTGTTGGGTTGGGGGGGGGGCGTCGGGGAGTATTGAAACAAGACATGCGGAATCCGTACCTCCCCCAAGTTGGGTTGAGGTGGACTGGTAGGTAGCTAGGTTCTGGACAACATTCGCAGCTGGGCATTTCACCATTTGTGTCCGTACCCACCTCGGGCGCGCCTAGTGGTGGTCCTCGTGGCCGCTCGGGGAGGAGGCCCAGGCCTCCTCGCGCCGAAGGGGGGGGGGGGGGGGGAAGGTTCGGCGGAGAGTCTTTGGAGGCTTCCGTCGGTTCTCAGAGACTCTCTCGCCTCGGGGTGCCTGCCGGCCTTTGTGCCTCGCCGGGGGTCCCAGGCGTGCCCGGGCGGCCTCTGGAGGCCCGAGCTGGGACCCCAAGGCCGACCTTCTCGCGTCGTAAGAAAGATCACGGCGGGCAGCTCTGGACCACTCTCGGTCACTGGGGGGCCCCTGCCAGGCACCGGGGCCGCCGGACGCCGGCTCGGGATCGGAAGGCTAGGGGAACGAAGAATGAGGTAAAGGTAAAAACTCGGAGGTCCGCGCGGATTTCTCGGATCCGCGCTGGGGCCCCCTGGCAGCGCCTCCGGCGCCGCCCCTGGCGCGCTTCGCGCCCCAGGGAGGGGGGTTCAGCGCCGATCCGAGAAATCCGCGCGGACCTCCGAGTTTTTATGTTTGTGTCATTCTTCGTTCCCCGAAAGGCGGCCCGGGGAAGGGTTCGAGACCTCTGGGGGACCCACGTCGTGGACAGGCCACGACGTCAGAGATCCCGGGGAGGGCGCAAGTGTTGTGGTTCGGGCGTCGCGTGACGGGGGGGTGATAGATGGGGGGCGGCGAGGGCTGCAGAGAAGGGGCCCTCGAGGGCCCCTAAAGGAGCCCCGTAGGGCCCAAAAGGGGTGTTGGGTCGACTTCGGGCGGCCTGTTCCGAGCGTACCCGGAGCTCCTCCGTGGTCGGCGTCCGGGCGCCTGCTCGGAAGAGTACCCAGGACGGGCCCCACAGCGGGCTCGAGGGCCGATGCCCGACAAGTGCTGACGTCGTGGGGTCGTGGTCGTCGTCGTCGCCATCTACCGGCCGAGGGTCGACGAGACGCGGGGCGCTTCCTCGCCGAAGGGCGCACTCCGAGGAGGGGGCCTCTGGGTTTATCCCTGAGGGGGTCGCCGCGAAGGAAGGGGGCTCGAATGAGTGGAGAGGGGCGGCTGGAGGTCTGCTGTCGCTGCTGTTCGGGCTATGTTGCCCCCATGACCCTCCCTCCCATCCCACCTCGTCTCCCTCCTCTACAGTCAACCCGCAGAGTAAGGATGAGCACCGTTCCAAGGTTACCCTTGCATCCGTCCCCTTCGGCTTCGACCCATCCTTTGCCGCTTTCGCTGGCCGCGCCCCGCTCGCAGAGTGTCGACATGGCCTGCCAAGGCCTTTACATCCCTATCGTGCGTCCTTATTGTTCGGGTCGACTATACTACTTCTCTCCCTCCTCCCTCCTCTCCCCTAGGGGGCCATGTCGCTGGCCCATGATGCGGCTGGCGCAAGACCGTACCGTGGTGGCAGAGAGGTCCTCTCCCATGGACCCCCCTGGGGGTTTTCGGCTGACCCGTCGGGCCTCGCTCCCTGTTCTCTTCCTCAGTGGCGTGCGGTCCTCTACTCCTTCCCTCCTCCCTCTCTCTTCGCTCCCTCCTCCTCTCTCCTCCTCCCTCGCCTTCTCTCTCGTCATCCCTCGCCTCGCCCCTCCTTTCCCTCCTCGCTTCGCCCCATTCCTCCTCTCCTTCACTCCCTCCTCTCTCTCCCCCTCCCTCCTCGCCTCGCCCCTTCCTCCGGATGCACCTCCGGCCGTCGGACCACGGCCCGGGACGGAACGGGGCGGTCCCGGGGAGAGCCCCAGGGGTCCAGGGGGCCTGTATTATCGCCATTGCGCATGGCCCTCTCTTGCCAGGTCACGCGTCGCCGTCGCCGTCGCCGTCCCGTCGTCGTCGTCGTCGTAGTCGTCGGCGTCGGCGTCGTCGAGATCGGCTTCGGCGTCGGCGCCTTCGTTCGGCCACGCGCGGGGGGGGTATTGGGGAGGGGGGAAGGCTTCTCAAAAGTGCCCCTGCTTCTCAGAAGGCGCGGCCCTTGTCTGCAGATGTGGCTTCTCAGAAGGCGCGGCCCTTGTCTGCAGTTGTGAGGACGGCGCTTTCTGAGGAGCAGCCTCGTTCTAAGAAGCCCTACCCCCTAGTTCGCGCCGCCAAGTCGTCGTGATTGCAACAGTGTTTGCCGTCAGCTCAGGAGCAAAAGAAGGACGTACGCGTACATGAATCCACGTTGGTTTCGAGAGTACGCATTGCGCGAAAGTTCGTATCACGCGGCCAATCTCGCGGATTGGGTGACCGTGTTCATATGCGTGGGTGGGCGCGTACGCTTTCCGTGGGCTCCCTAGCGTTATCGTCGCCCCGTGCTCTTTCGCCTTGGCCCATGCACTCATGAGCCTTCCTCACACGCTCCAACAAGTGGCTGGGCTGGGGCCAGCCCTCCTCTTTGCAGCCCTGGCCAGTCTCCCCTCAGAATTTCAAGCCCTGGCAGCCTCATCCCAACCGTTTCGGGCTCGTTGCGGCCCCTGCCAGTTATCCGTAAGGGCTTCGCCCCCTGCCGCCGGCCCCCTCTCTCGGAGAATGGGCCATGGAAGAGCTAAGTCATGAGGCCTTGGCGCTGTCGTGAAGCAGTATCGAAACTTCATGCGAAGCCGATTCGCAATCAGCAAATCCAACTGATCACAAGAGGGGTTACCACACCTGGCGATTGGTAAGACGTGTATGGTTTACGGGCTTGGTTACCACACCTTGCGATTAAAGGGCCGAGGGAGTTCTCGCAGTTTGGGTTACCACGCCTTGCGATGGATGTGCGTGAAGGGTGGCACCGAATTTCAGAAATGTGGCAAATCCCATCTGTTTTTGGACCCTGACCCCGCGGATCTGCGTGAGGGGTGGCACCGAATTTCAGAAATGTGGCAAATCCCATGTGTTTTTGCACCCTGACCCCGCGGATCTGCGTGAGGGGTGGCACCGAATTTCAGAAATGTTGCAAATCCCCTGTGTTTTTGGACCCTGACCCCTCGGATCTGCGTGAGGGGTGGCACCGAATTTCAGAAATGTGGCAAATCCCCAATGTTTTTGGACCCTGACCCCGCGGATCTGCGTGAGGGGTGGCACCGAATTTCAGAAATGTGGCAAATCCCATGTGTTTTTGGACCCTGACCCCGCGGATCTGCGTGAGGGATGGCACCGAATTTCAGACATGTGGCAAATCCTTTGTGTTTTTGGACACTGACCCCGCGGATCTGCGTGAGGGGTGTCGATTTCGAGCCCCCCCAGCAATTCAGACGATGCGTCCAGGGGGTGCTAAAAAGCCGTTTGGGCTTCCCCCCCCCCTCGCGCGGTCAATCAACTAGTTACAGTAACCAGCAATAAGTCAACTAGTTACAGTAACCAGCAAGAAGCAGAACTGTAACACTGGAAACTACAACCTACGACTGGTACAGGAAACTGCGAATCACGGGCCTACAGCCTGGTGGCCCCACAAGGGGGCCGGCGGATTTGCAGGAACGCCCAATCCCAGACAGTTTGAATCTATATATTTGTGTATATATTACGTTGTGATATGCCATGCTACCCCTTGGCATGTCATAGTATGGCGTGGCCTTCCGCGTGGTGGTGCGCCCAGTCTTTCTTTCACGCGACCAGCAGTCCTATGTGATGTTTGGTGTTGGTACATGTATTGCTAGCTCACATTATGATCGTTCGTTTTCTGGTCTTTGATTTCCCATCGTGCTACAAACTTACTCACAGATGGTATGATGATACTGTCCTCGCGTTTGCTCTTTTACTTGCTCTTCTGTTATAATGGTAGTGCACTCTTTATACGGTCGCGCACGCCAGTTGTCAGTGTGGCACTTTCTTGTTCAAATCATCGTGCTAGTGCAGTATATCAAGGGCATAGAAAAACGCCCCTACCCTGGTTTACGAGGCGCTGTGCGCTGAAACTCCTGTGGGCTGACAGGGTAAACCCTGCGTAATGTGCCGCGCCCTGGCGGCTCTAGGCTTTAGGGGTTCCCAGGAGGTTTACAGACCACGCACTTGTAACCCAGGGTAGGGTCGTTTTTATCATCCCTCAAGTATAGATGGATATTACGTTTCTTGTGTATGCGTCTTGTTGTACTTTGTTGTGCCATGCAACTGTCAGCTAAATTGATTTGTTCCATGGTTCACAGCGATATGATGTACTAGTGTGGTATAATACTCTCTGGTTGGTTCTGTGATCGGGTATCCGTTTCTGTTTTGCTTCGCTGTAGTATGTTATGATTCGCTACGCTTTGATATTCGATGTTAAGTCTTGCTTGTTCTGCTATGTTGTATATAAATATGTATTAGCCAGCGTTGACTCCAAATCGATAGGAGGATTGGAGGAGGACGAGAGGAGGATGGGAGGAGGACGAAAGGAAGACAGGAGCAGGACGGGAGGAGGACGGGAGGAGCAAAATCAAGCAAGCGCAAGCAAGCAAGCAGGCGGAAGCAAGCAAGCGCGAGCGAGCAGTAACAAGCAAGCAAGAGCCAGCGATCAAGAGCAAGCAAGCAAGGGCAAGCATGTGCAAGCACGCGAGAGCAAGCACGCAAGAGCAAGTAAGCAAGTTCAAGGAAAGCAAGAACAAGCAAGCAAACACGCACGAGCAAGGAGTCACCATTGGAAATAGCTGGGGGGGGCATTGACAATAAGGGGGGGTGCAATTTGAACAACGGGGGTGGGAGGGGGGTGCCATTGGAAATAAGGGGGAGGTGCCATAGGAAAAAGGGGGGGGTGCTGAAGACCAATTACTCTGCCGTAGCGGTAGCAGTATAACAGTGATTCTGTTATGTGTTCTTAGGTTCAAGTATATGTTCTGTTGTTATACGCAAAGGTAGGTGTGTTTGATCTGTTGTAGTATATGGTAATCGTTGTCGTGAGGGTAGCAGGAGTATAACAACTATGGTATAATATTATCTGCTATGGTATTATATGCTCTGTCATGCTCCGTCCTGTATTACGTGTTGCTATGGTGTGTTGTAATATGTCATGTGATGATATGTTACAATTTGGTATGCCATGTCATGTCGTTCCATGCCATGGTCTGCTATGTTATGTTAGGGGATTGTATGCTTTGCTCTGCTCATCATGTGATGCCATGCTGTGTTATACTCTGTTCTGCTCTGTTCTGTCGTGTGCCCACTTGGTGTGTGTGTGTGTGCTCTTCATGCCGATGATTCATGTCTTTTGGCTCCTGCGTCGTGACGCCTGGACGGCGTGACGCCGTGACGCCTCCCCCTCGAGGCTGTCTAGTGTGCAGGGTGTCGTCATTCGTCAAGGACGCTAGGCGGGACTCTCAGGACTTCCCGGGATCCTGCAGGGGTCCTGCGTCCGCGGCATGGTGCCGTCATTCGTCGAGGGTGCGAGGCCAGACGCTCAGGGACTCCCGGGTTCCTGGGGAGTCTGGCGACCGCGGTATGCAGGGTGGGCAGACGGGATATGTTTTTAATCTAACAACACCAACCTGCAGGCTGGGGAACAATCATTTCGAGACCGTTCGCTCTTATCAGCTAGCGTGCCAATCAACATCTATATCCCAAGCCTCCGTAGCCAGTTTGTCTCAAAGGATGGACCGCCGCTCAACTGCCGCGGTGGCTGGTCTCGCTGCGCTCGCCATCCTGGCCGCCAGACTGGCAAGCCCAGTAGCTCCATACCAGATCCTGGCATGGAATGTCCTGAAGCTGGCGCCCCTGCCAGCAGCGCGACCTGGGGCGGCGTTCACGGCCGCCCGCCTGCGGCCCGACGGCAGCTGCGCCGTCGCACCCGACGGGCCGGTGCGCTTCCGATTCGCGCCCGTGGACGTCGCGGCGACCGTGGGGACCAAGATGTCGGGCTTCAGGCACTGGGTGAGGTCTGCGGACGGCGCCCTCGTCAGCGAGCGGGTCGTGAACGGCTCCGAGCCGCAGCTGGAGCTGCAGGGCCTGCCGCCCGGGCGGCACAGGTGGGGCGTGCAGTGGTGGCCCGCGGACCCCGCTGGCGCCGTATCCGCCGAGGCCGAGTCCGAGGTCCTCGTGGCGCCCCGGGGCGACGCGTGGGACGGGGTCCCCTGGCTTGGGTCGCACGTCGCTAACGAGTTCCGCCTCGAGGCGCGCACGCCGGCCGCGAGCGACGCGGAGCTCCTCGTGGCCACCCTCGGCTTCGGCTACGCGAAGGTGAACGGCCGCGAGGTGTCCAAGGACGTGCTCAGCTACTCCGGCTGGACGGTCACCGAGAAGCGCGTGCTCTACCGCAGCTACAATGTCACGGGCCTCCTGCGCAGCGACGGGCTGGCCGAGATCTTCGTCGGGCTGGGCTGCGGGTACCGCTGCGACGCGAAGGACCAGTCGCGCTTCCCCGGCAAGACGCCGCCCCCGCACGACGCGGTCCCGAAGGTGTTCCGCCTGCAGCTGCGAGTTGGCGGGGAGCTCGTGGTGCACAGCGGCACCCCCGGGTGGCAGTCGCGAGCCGGCCCGGTCGTCGACGATTCCATTGCGTGCGCCAGGCGTGTCTTGAAAGTGGGTTAACCCAAGTAGACCAAGTAGCCCAATTAGCCCAAGTAGAGGGTTTGACCCAAGTAGCCCAAGTAGCCCAAGGTTTGACCAAAGTAGCCCAAGTAGCTCGAGACATTCTCACAACTCGAACGCCGCTGCTCGAGACATCCTCGCAACTCTGGCTACTTGGGCTACTTGGGTCAATCCTCTACTTCGACTACTTAGGCCGCTCGAGACATCCTCACAACTCTGGCTACTTGGGCTACTTGGGCTACTTGGGTAAAATTATCCCGGCAAAGCAACCTAACAGCGATGTGTAGGAGCATATCTGGAAGCATTCCCCTTAAGATTCAGATGAGAATCCAGTTGTAGAATTGTGCTGTTCTCGCAGTCGTAGTCGCATTCGCGATGACAGTCGCAGTGGCAACGGCAGTTGCAGTCACAGCCTCAGCCTCAGCCTGCCTCAGCCTCAGCCTCAGCCTGCCTCAGCCTCAGCATGCCTCAGCCTCAGCCTCAGCCTGCTTCAGCCTCAGCATCAGTCTGCCTTCAGCCTCGGCCTCAGCCTCAGCCTGCCTCAGCCTCAGCCTGCATCAGCCTAAGCCTCAGCCTCAGCCTGCCTCAGCATCAGCCAGCCTCAGCCTCAGCCTCAGCTGCTCAGCATTCAAAATGTGGCCCGGGAATGGCGTTCTGGACTCCGAAGAACACGAGTGGCCTACAGTTCAGCTCGGGCATTCAAATCATGCCCAGGAATGGAGCTCTGGGAAACTCGAAGACCACGAAGTGGCCTACAGTTGGCTCCGGGCATCCATAGGGAACTCGAAGACCCACGAAGTTGGCCTACAGTTGGCTCCGGGCCTCCAAAATCTGGCCCGGAATTAGTCTGGAACTCGACTAGCACTAAGTGGCTTACATTTGGCCCGGGACATTCAAAATGTTCCCGTGAATGGATTTTTCTGGGGACTCGAAGCCACGAAGTGGCCTACCAGTTGGCTCCGGGGCATTCACAATGTGGCCGGGAATGGAGTTCTGGGAAGTGAAGACCACGACGTGGACTAGAAGTTGGCTCCGGGCTTCAGAATGTGGCCCTGGAGCGGAGTTCTGGGAGGTCGAAGAGCACGAAGTGTGTGACTGTTTGCGAAAAACGAATTCGAACCCAGCTCCCCGGATCCCCCCCGGATCCCCCTGTGGAGTCATCTGCTGCTCTCTTTTGACCCTACTAGAAACCTATCAGTCTTCGCTGTTAGGTAAAAAATTGGGCTACTGGCAGTTGAGACATCCTCACAACTCTAGCACTGCTGCTCGAGACATCCTCACAACTCTGGTTACTTGGGCTACTTGGGCTACTTGGGTCAATCTCTCTACTTGGGCTATTCGGGCCGCTCCAGACATCCTCACAACTCTGCTACTTGGGGCTACTTGGGCTACTTGGGTCAATCCTCTACTTGGGCTACTTGGGCCGCTCGATACACCCTCACAACTCTGGCGCTGCCGCTTGAGACATCCTCACAAGTTTTGTATACCTGGGCTGTTTGGGCTACTTGGGCCAATTCTCTACGTGGGCTACTTTGTCCGCTCAAGACATCCTCACAACTCTGCCGCTGCCGCTCGAGACCTCCTTGCAACTCTGGCTACTTGGGCTACTTGGGCCAAGTCTCTACGTGGGGCTAGACTGGTCCGCTCGAACCATCCTCCAACTCTGCGCCGCGCTAGAAAAACCTCCTCGCACTCTCGGCCACTCGGGCTACTTGGGCTACTTGGGGTTCAATCCCTCTACTTGGGATACTTGGGCCGCTCGAGACATCTCACAAACTCTGGCGCCGCTGCTCGAGACATCTCACGCGCATTGGCTTCTTTGGGCTACTTGGGCCAATTCTATACGTGGGCTACTTGGTCCGCTCGAGACATCCTCACAACTCGTGCGCCGTCGCTCGAGACCTCCTCGCAACTCTGGCTACTTGGGCTATTTGGGCTACTCGAGTCAGCCCTCTACTTGGGCTATTTTGGCCGCTCGAGACATCCTCACAACTCTGGCGCCGCCGCTCGAGACATCCTCACAGCTTTGGCTACTTGGGCTACTTGGGCTACTTGGGCCAATCCTCTACTTTGGCTGCTGGAGCTGCCCGAGACATTCTCACAACTCTGGCGCCGCGCTACTTGGGCTTGGGCTACTTGGGTCCACCCTGTACTTGGGCTACTCGGACCGCTCGAGACATCCTCACTACTTACCGTGGCACCGCCGCTTGCTGACATCCTAACTAATCTGATTAGTGATGGAAACGCAGCGCAGCTAGGTCCCCGGCGGTTCACGTTCCATGCCGGCGCAGAGATCCATAGTGAAGGCAGGGAACAGGGAATGCACCGTAGTAAAGACAGGGAGCAGGGAATGCACCCGTAGCGGTTTAGGCTCAGGGGGGGTTTAGCGATAGGCCCCTTTGGGCATCATGGCCGGGCCATGGCATAAAGCAGGGTCTCTGTCGGATGGGACTCTTCTCGAAAGACTCGAAGGCACTCGCCTTATAGAAGCGCTGGCGTACGATGATGCGGGGAAACCCCAGGGATCGTATCTGCTAGAAGTGTTGAGCGCAGACTGCTCGCCCAGAGGCGGGGTGAGCATCAAAGCTAAGTATATCGTGGCTTCTGACGATTATTACGCGCACTGGATGCTGCGTGGCGGGTGGCCCGAAAAAGGATCCTACCACGTGTGCCCCGACGACAGCGCGGAGTGCCGGAAGCACCAAGGCCGGAACGAAATCCACATAGAGGTTTGGAGGCCGATCGTAGTTGACGACATTAAGAAGGACAAAGTTGCATGGATTGCGAAGAGGTTCAAGACGAAAGTTTTGGCTGCTCTTGCGGATCCACCGCTCCCGCCGCCTCTCGAGCAGCCGCCAGAAGAAGCCCCTCACCCAGGCGAGCGTAGGGGCCCAGGGGTTCCTGAAGGCGCCCTGTGGGAAGAGCCCGGGGACAAGCGTCGCGGCGACGAGGACAGGCCTCGGGGTGCCAGCCGCGGGGGCGGCACGGGCCGGAAGTTGGTCGACCTCCGGAGCCGGCTGGAAGCTGGCGAGGGGCTCGCGGACCGGGCGGCCGCGGAAGACCGGAAAGCAGAGGGAGCGTCTCCTGGGCGGAGGCAGGCTAGGAAAGAGCGAGACGGTTCTCCCCCGGACGGCAGAGGAGACCGCGAGGGCCGGCCTAGGGACCGAGACCGGCCTCGGCACGACCGCGGCCGGTCTCAGGGCCGGAAGGCAATGGCGAGGCGCCGCGAGGACCGCCCAGAACGCTCGAGGGAGCGCGAGGCGTCGTCCGACTCACTCAACAGAAAGAGGAGAAAGCTTTTGCGAGAGTCGAGTTGCAGCGACTCGGAAGAGAAGGGTTTCGCGTAGCCTCGGCTTCAGGGAGCCGGTCCTCTGTGACCCAGGGGCGGCTCTTGCGCTTTGCGCGACGCCGCCCGGGCCGTCTCTCCAGACGTCTGCTTCGGACGATGGCGAAGGCGGTGGCGCCTGGGGCCGAGGCGAACAGCGACGACGAAGACAACAAAGGACAACTCACCCCGGCGGCCAGCGCATACTTTCTCCGAGTCCTGTCGACGAAGTACACTTTGTCGAAGAGGAACAAGTCCGAAATGTCGCTGATGTGCAAGATGCTGGACTTGTTGGCGCTCGGGAAGGTCGACCGCGCCATGGGCTTTGCCTGCCAGCACCTCAAGTCTTTGGAGCAAGTCGCCTTGGACGGGTATTGGAACAACGCCCAGTTCCTGGAGCTCGTGGAGACGGACGGCGCTTCTCTCGTCAACACGACAGAGAAGTACATGATGCGCGACGAGGTCCAGCAGCAGCAGAAGCTCAGCTCCCGGTCGGGGGGCGCCCAGGCGAGCAGCTACAAGGGCGGCAAGCCGGAGCCGCAGCAGGCGCGGTGGACAGACGACGGGTCCGCGCAAAGGGGCCCCCACTCGGGCAAGGGCCACTACTTCTACGCGACGCCGAAGAGCAAGGGAAAAGGCAAGGACAAACCGGGGAAGTGGTGATCTTCCCCAATGCCCATCGCGGCGCGGCCTTGGATGTCGATTACAGGACAGCCGCAGCCACCGCGGATGTCGAGCCCACGCCGGCCCCCATTTTGGATAGGGCCCCGGGCGCGCAGCACGCGGCGGAAGTTGATTCCGCAGAGAGCGCGGTGGCTCTAGCTACGCGCAAGGAGTGGCGGGCCCCTGCGCCGCGCACCCCGGCGTGGCGACCCCGCCAGAGGAGGCTTCTGGCGGGGCGCAGGGCCGCTCGGATGTCGATTCCGACGGCGTCCACATTGGCGAAGCCATGCTGGACTCTTCCCCCGAGCAGCTTAATCGAGCCGCGCGGGGGTCAGGCCGCGCAGCGCGGCCCCACCGGGACAAGGCGCCTTTTCAAGAAAGCGCATTTGTGCCAGACCGAATTCGCATCCCTTCGTCGATGCATCCTCGCCGTGCCCCGGCGAAGTCACCCACTACCTCGTTGCCGCGCTGGACTCGGCTCGAATTGTTGGCAAGATGCAGCCTGTCCCTGGAGCAAGTGCGCGCCCATATATCCAGTAGTGGCGCACTGTAATGTACACAGGTCACGCCATTAGCAGGCCGATGCAGGAGTTGGCGGCCCCCCAGGGGCCGTTTTTTGAACGCTTTTCTCCGTCTCCCTGCCCCGGGGCAGCCTCGGCGCGACGACGCTCAGTCCGAAAGAATGCCTTCCGCGCTAAAGTATGCATCTGAGAGCGTAACGGTCGGGGCGCCGGTCTGCCGTCGGCCCAGACGTGACCCTCTTTCCCGAGGCGGAATCAGGGCGCTTCTCGGCGGTGACGCAAAGGCGGAGTCAACCGCGCTTCCCCTTCTCCCCCATCCCATCTCTCCCTGCCCCCCCCCCCCCCCCCCCCCCCCCCCTCTCCTCTGTCTTCCCCCCTCGTGCTCAACAGGGCCCAGTGGCGGATCTTCCGACCAGAGCTGAAGGAGCTAAAAGGCGCAGGTCTCATATGGGAGCTCTTAGAAGACTCCTTGCCGTTCCTGGCCACCCCCCGCTTGGGCGCTGCGCCTCTCTCGACCCCCAGTCGGGCGCCCAGCCCAACAAGGACCTGCCCCCCATCCCCGTGCGAATGGGCAAGGACAAAGCGCGCGAGTTATCGCGGGCCAAACGTTTGGCGGAAGACGCATCCTCGGCGCGCCGGTCGGCCGTCGCACGCGCGGCGCTCGCCATGAACTTCCACGGCCGAGCGGCCTGGGAAGGCGCGCCGGAGCTTGCTGAGCCATGGAAGGGCGGCGGGCCAAAGCCGACGAGCCCAGCGCTGACGGCGGCCCAGGATGGCGTCGTGAACCAGTTGCGGGAATCAGCCCACATTTCGGTGCCCCACGCGGGGCCAGCCCCCACAGTAGAAAGTCCGGGGGAAGACCTCCAGACGCGACAAACGAGTTATGGGAGAGCCCGTGGCTACTCGGCGGGCTCTGATCGCAGACAGCGTTTCCGGCGTGGCCCCTCCAAGGTGAAGCGGCCGCAGTTCCGGTCGCAAGTCTCCTGGGCGGTGAACTCCTCGATGACGTATTGAACCCGTGGGCTTGTTTATTGCTGGAATCGCAGTGGCCATCCGAACCTCCCGTTTCGCGCGTCCACGCGCCCGACAGAGAACGGTGCAACGTCGTCGATGCGGGCTTTCAAAGAAGCATTTTTGCCGAAGCCCCTGACCGACGCGTCTTCCTTGATCGGGCCGGGCGGCCTGTGCTCAACGGAGCCGTGGGGATCGACGAGCCCCCAAAGGGGGGGCGAGGTGCTGCTCCGGTTTATTTCCATCTTCGCGCCAATCAACGCCTGCATCCGGAATCTGCGGGGCGACGACAACGCGCTGCCATTTGCATCTTTGTTGTCCACCGCTTTTCTTGAAGATGGAGACGAGTTGTGGGCGGATTCAGAAGACTTGAAAGGATGTTAAAATTATCCCAGTGCGACCCTACCTAGGAGTTGGACCCCCTAGGAAAGCAGCATTAGTAGTAACAGTAACGCTAAGCTAAAGCCAAGCTAAAGCTAAGCGAAAGCTAAGCTAAATCGAAGCTAAAGCTAAACCACAGCTAAGCTAAAGCTAAACTAAAACTAAGCTAAAGCTAAGCTAAAGCTAAGCTGAAGCTCAGCTAAAGCTAAGCTAAAGCTGAGCAGCAGCTAAGCTAAAGCTAAGCTACAGCTGAGCTAAAGCTAAGCTAAAGCTAAGCTAAAGCTAAGCTAAAGCTAAGCTGCAGCTAAGCTAAAGCTAAGCTACAGCTAAGCTACAGCTAAGCTAAAGCTAAGCTAAAGCTAAGCTAAAGCTAAGCTAAAGCTAAGCTAAACGCTAAGCGAAAAGCTAAGCGAAACGCTAAGCGAAACGCTAAGCTAAAGCTAAGCTACAGCTAAGTTACAGCTAAGCTGAAGCTAAGCTACAGCTAAAGCTAAAGCTAAAGCTAAAGCTCCCAGGGGACTGGGGGGAACCGCTCCCAGGGGACTGGGGGAACCGCCCGGGGCGTGTTGCACTGCCCGGCCCTTTAAGCTAAGAGAGTAAGAACCCTTCTAGGCAGAGCCTAGGTATGGGACATCTTTTATCTGCCGCCAGAGTGGCTAGGCTTGTGTACAGTTGCCAAGAATGTATCCGCCTCAGCCTTCGGGGGCGATCCCAACCAGCTCGCTTGGGTCGGCGTCCGTGCTTCGGCGATGGTCCAAGGCGGTCGTGTCAATCATGCAGAGAGTCATCCGCGCGCTTGTCTTTGGACGCTCCAAAGTCCGCTCGAACGCAGAGCTTCGCCCTGATTGGCCGACGCCGCAAGGCGATGTCAGCGCGGTGCGTTTGGATGGTGTTGATTGCGCGCGCCAGGCGCGAACTCGACTGGACAACCTGGGCGAGCCCGAATCAGCGGAACATTCGGCATTCGCCCAGACGTGCCAGAGTTATGGCATCCCGCAAATGCGGGCAAAGCCATGGTGTCAGCGCTTCGAGCTGGCATTTTGGGCGGTCTTCTCAGGGGGGGCCTCGGGCTGCTCTCCGCGGCGCCAGACAAAGCGCGCAGCCTCGCCCTCAAAGAGGCAACCCTCGTTGCCCAGCAGTCTTGGACGGCGGGTGCGCTGCGACACTGGGCGGGGGAAGCCTGCTTCGCAGCGGGCTTCCGCTGGCCCCTGTTCGCGGTGTTAGAGCAGATTTTTCCTTGCATTCAAGGCGCTGTGGATTGACCGACCTGGCCAGATCCCGCGGTGGTCGATGAAATCCTGTCTTTCACCGTGCTCCCGCCCCTGGCGCACTCGAATCTGAGGGCCCCTGTCAAGCGCAGCATATCATGCACAGACGCTTCGGAACATGGCGGGGGCGCGGCTGAAGCCATCAGGTTTCGACGCCAACTGGGGCGCGAGGCGGGCCGGCGGTTCGAGACTCACTTTGCGCAGCTCGCGGAAAGCCAGCGGGGCGAATGCACCCCGCAGCGGCGCTGCGCCGCGTGCGGTGCGGCGCGCGCTCGCGAGTTGGCAGAATGCCCCGAACAATGCGGGGCATCAATGTGTTCCGTGCCACTCGTGCTCACGCACTACCGGCGCATCTGCCATGCGTCGCGCGTAGGGCGACCGGCATTTTTCGAGTGCCGCCCAGCGTCAGCATGTTTGACGTGGGATGTCGCCCGCGCCAACATCGGCATCTGTCACCCGTTGGAGCGGCCCCAGGATTTCTCCGAACCGCAGGTCCAACGCCACGTTCACAGATGCAGACCATTGCGATGCTCAGTGGGAGCATTGGGAAATGCACCTTTGTACTTTCGTATGCGTCTGCCCAGGCGACCTGGAAACCCGATGCGCCTGCGGCGCCAGCGCGCGCACCGAGGAAAGTCCTCATGGGGGCGGGTGGGCGGGGCAGGCAGCGCAGCGACGCGTTGCGCTTGCCAGCCGGATGGCATCTCTGGCCTTCCGGCGCCTACTTTCGTGGGTGCGCAACGGTAGCTATGCCGTCGTCGCTAACCCGTGGCGCAGTTGGTTGTGGCACTTCCAAGCAGCCTTCGACCTGCAGGAATGCAGCGCCATCTTCTGCACCCGCGTTGCTGTGTTGAGCGGTGACGCGAGAGGGGAAGCCGCCACTTGATGTTTGCTCCGCAACAGCGCGCGCCTGCGTGCAGCAGTCGCTGGCGCGCGCGCGCGCGGCTCCTGGTCGGCCGACGATTATCGACGCGTTCGTCGAGGCTCTCGCCGTGACGTTCGCTGATGTCGGTGCCTCTGGGGTGCCCAGGGCTCCGTCGGACCGCCCTGGCTGGGTTCTTGCGCGGCCGAAGCAATCCCGTCGGAATGGCAGCGCGGAGAGGCCCACAGAGGCAGCGGGCGAGTGCACGGCGGCACGCCCCCAGACAGGAGCACCACCACCTGGGGGCCATGGTGGCGCGGGCAGACGCCCGAGGCCCCCGCGTCTGCTTGGCGACGGGCGAAGTCGCCCAGCAGGCTCGAACTGTCCCTTACCCGGCTTTCGCCTGGCAGCGGGGGGCGGCGCAGGCATGCCCGTGGAAGGCGTCCCAGCACATCAACGCATTAGAATTTACATCCTACTTAAAGTATGTTCGCAAAAAGTTTCGTTCCCGATGTTTTCAGCCTCTGCGGTTCGTTGACGGATTCGACAGCCAGGTGGCCCGAGCTGTGGTTCCCGAAGGAAGAAGCTCAAGCCGAAGGCTCATTCGCCCAAGGCGGCGGTTGATGGCTTGCGAACTCGCAGTGGATGCCTATTCTGCGGGGGTCTGGACCATGTCACAATGGCAGTTCGCGGATGCCGCGAGCCGCCTCTGGCGCCATGAGTAACGCACGAAAAATCAGAAGGGGTTTCTTAAAGAGGCCCAACGCATTCACCTCATAGAAATTGGCATCACCAACCGAACACGGGAATGTTACGACAAGGCTTTATTGCAGTTTTTCAAGTATTGCGAACATATAATATAAAGATACCACAGTCGTTGCTCGAGCTCGACGATGAGTTGTCTGAATGCATCAACCATATGTGGCTCAGCGGCGACTCCCGCGGCTACGCGGCGGATGCGGTGTCTGCCGTGGCGCGTTTTTGCCCAGGCGCTCGTGCGGCGATCCCTGCAACCCGGCAGTGCCTCAGGAATTGGGATAAAGTGTTAGTGCGTAAGCGCGCCTTCCCGGTCTTCAAAGAGCTAGCTCGGGCCATGGTTGGCGCTGCGCTTACGTGCGATAGGGCTGACCTGGCGGCCCTCGTCCTCGTGGGTTTTTTGGGGCCTCTTGCGGCCGGCAGAGATTGCGTCTTTGACTCCCAGTCAAATCCATACTAACCCAGACGAGAGAACCGCAATTATCGTTCTGCCAGACACGAAAGGGACGAAGAGGGCCGGCTGCGTCGAGCATTTCATTATCCAGGACAAGGCGACCGTCGATGCGCTCCGTTCGGCCTCGGCCGGGGTGGGTTCGCAGCAGCAGATCTATTCGAAAATGCCATCCCGGTTCTCTCTTGAATATAAATGGCTCGCTGGCTTATTCGGAGCGCAAGGTGACGCTGTCGCGCCGCGCGGGCTGCGTCGCGGAGACACTGCCTGGCCGCGGCTTCTTACCGGGTCCTTGGACCGCGTCGCAGTCGCAAGTCGGTGGCAGGAAGCCCGCGCAGCCCGAATCTACATCGAAACCGCTGCGGCCGAGATGGGCAAATAAATGGAGACGCGGACCCAGGGCGGCAGAGCCCATGCGATCCGCGGGTGCTCCTGGCCACGGAGAACTCAGAAGAGGGAGGCCGCAGGGGCGGCGAGCGGGGGCTGCGGAAGACAGGCCGCAGAAAAGCGGCAGTTGGCCGGGGGTCTGGTGTGAACCATGTGATTGGCGCGGTCGAGTGGCCGACGCTACGCTCCCATTTCCGCGCGTCCCGCGCCGCAGCCAGAGGCTTGGCGGAGGTCGCGCAGCCCCCGTTGGCCGCGACTGCGGCGGCCAAGGACACCCGGGATCGAGAGAGAGAGAGAGAGAGAGAGAGAGAGAGAGAGAGAGAGAGAGAGAGAAGCAGAAGGAAACGTGAAATAGTGAGGGGAAAGCAGCCCAGCTAAGTCCTCGTCGGTTCACGTTCCATGCTGGCGCAGAAATCCGTAGTGAAGGCAGGGGGCAGGGAATGCACCGTAGTGAAGACAGGGATCAGGGAATGCACCCGTAGCGGTTTAGGCTCCCTCCTCCTCCCCTTTTCCTCCTGCTCATAACTGCACGCAACATCTTTTCCATCGCTCCTTGCGCGTCTGCTGCACAGCCATCGATGTACAGTGTGTCGGGGGGCTGGTGTGAGCCATGTGATTGGCGCGGTCGAGTGGCCGACACGACGCCCCCATTTCCGTGTATCCCTGCCGCAGCCAGAGGCTGAGCGCAGGGCGCGCAGCCCCCGTTGGCCGCGACTGCGGCGGCCAAGGACACCCGGGGTCGAGAGAGAGGCACCGGGAAGCGAGAATACTTGGGCAACTTGGGCTACTCGGGCCACTCGAGACATGCTCACAACTCGTACGCCGCTGCTCGAGACATCCTCACAGCTTGGGCTACTTGGGCTACTTGGGCTACTTTAGCGGCGCGCTCCGCGCGTGCGCGCGACTGCGTCGTTGTCGCCATCGCGGAGGATAAGGACTTGGAGGGCAAGGGGGGTTAAACCGTTAGGCGAGGTAGCGGCGCGACGCCTCGAGATGTAAGGAGGAGGAAACTGTGGTCGGGGGGGAGGCGGGGAGGGGGCGGAGGGGGGGTAATGACAGAGGAGGAGGAGAGAAGGCGGAGGAGAGGGAGGAGGAGCAGAGGAGGAGGAGACGAGGGGGAGGAGAAGAGGAGGAGGAGGCGGAGGAGGAGGAGGATGAGGAGGAGGAGGAGGAGGAGAGGAGGAGGAGGAGGAGGAGCAGCAGGAGGAAAAGGAGGAGGAGGAAAAGGAGGAGAAGGGAGGATCGACAAAAATATGTTGAGGATGCGGGGAGGAGCACCTGAACTCTTGGAGGACGCGCCTGCCGCGGAGCCTGGAAAGGGCCGACCCGAAAAAATCACCGGAACCTTCGGGGTGATTTTTGTTTCGGGGGGGGGGGGGCGGGTGCGCCCCCATGAGTGCCTTAAGACCGCCGGTTTCAGCCACTAGACAGTCCTGTTTGGGTTGCTTAGGCTATTCGGGTTATTTGGGTTACTTGGGCTATTCGGGCCACTTGGGTTACTTGGGCTACTTGGGTCAAACCCTCTACTGGGGCTATTTGGGCCGTTCGAGAGATCCTCGCAATTCTGGCCCCGCCGCTCAAGACATCCTCACAACGTTGGCTACTTGGGCTACTTGGGCTAGTCGAGTCAACCCTCTACTGGGGCTATTCGGGTCGCTCGAGACATTCTCACGACTCGTGCGCCGCCGCTGGAGACATCCTCGCAGCTTTGGCTATTCGGACTACTTGGGCTATTTGTGCTACTTGGGTCAACCGAGTTCGAGACACTCCTCGCGCACGCACTGGGCGATTCGGTGTACGACGGGGAGACGTACAACCAGACGGCTGCCACAGTGTGGAGCCAAGCCGCCGCGCTCGCGGCGGGCCAGGGCCCTGCTGGCGCCATGGTCCCCGCGAGCTTCCCCGGCGTCCAGGTCACGCAGGTCGACGCCCCAGCAGCCGTCACCGAGCCAGCTCCTGGCGTGTTCGTGGTCGATTTTGGGTCCAACGTGGCTGGCGTCTGCCGCATTTCCATCCCCTCGGCGGCCACCGTCGTGCTTAGGCACGGCGAGGTGCTGGAACACGCGTTCATGCCCGGCGTGCTGGAGCCCAGGCGGGGGCGCGTGTATTTCGGCAACCTCCGCTCGGCGAAGCAGACCGACACCATCGTTGCAGCGGGCCCTCTTACAGATTGGTGGCCTCGGTTCACCTACCACGGCTTCTGGTACGTCGAAGTCACGGGCTTCCCGGGGATGCTGACAGCCGCTGGCATATCTAGGCTGCGCCTCCACACTGCCCTGGAGCCGAAGGCGCAAGTCACCTTCGGTGATGAAGTGCTGCAGGCCATTCACGAGGGCTCGCGTGGCTCGCAACTGTCGAACCTGATACAGCTGCCAACAGATTGTCCGCAGCGCGATGAGCGGGTCGGCTGGCTGGGGGACGCCAGCCTCTCCGCGGAGTCGATGTTCCTCCACTTCGACTACGCAGGAATGGCCGCGGCGTTCGCCGACTCAATCGTAGACAGCATGGGCGAAGACTTGGGAACCACTTCCACCAACATCCACGTTGACGAACGAGGCCCCTTCCTACGAGTAGGGCGAGGCCGTTCGGGGCGAGAACCGCGACGGAAACCGACGCAGATGTCACTGGGCCCACGCTCGGCATCCATCAACAGGCTGCTAAAATCAGATGCGCAGCAGCGCAATCGAAGCCGAATCGAAGCCGAAGTTGCTACAACAATGCGAGTTTGGCAACGGCGAGAAGGAGGGGGAGGGAGGGGGGGAGGGAGAGAGAGGAGAGAGAGAGAGAGAGAGAGAGAGAGAGAGAGAGAGAGAGAGAGAGAGAGAGAGAGAGAGAGAGAGAGAAAAAGAGAGAGAGAGAGAGAGAGAGAGAGAGAGAGAGAGAGAGAGAGAGAGAGAGAGAGAGAGAGAGAGAGAGAGAGAGAGAGAGAGAGATCGAGAGAGAGAAGAGAGAGAGAGAGAGAGAGAGAAAAAGAAAAACACGAGAGAGAGAGAGAGAGAGAGAGAGAGAGAAAAAAAGAGAGAGAGAGAGAGAGAAAACACGAGAGAGAGAGAGAGAGAGAGAGAGAGAGAGAAAGAGAGAGGTAGAGAGAGAGCGGAAGGAGAGGTTGGGAGAAGGGAGAGGAACCTTTGGGAATGGAGGAGTGAGGAGGAAGGGGAGCAGGGAAGGCGGCCGAAGGCGGGGAGCAGAACACGACCCGATAGGGGAACGGGGGAACGGAGGGTTCGGGCTCGCCGCCCGCCGCCGTCTGCCTCGAGCGGCGGGGCCGCGGCCCGCGGCAGCCTGCCGACGGCCCAGGGGCCCAGGGGCCCGCGGGCCCGCGGCGGCGCTGCGGCGCTGGCTGGCCAGGACCGCGGGTTCTTTTCTTTCTCCTCTGAGCGCCAGCCGGCCAGGCCGAGAGTTGTTGAGGCCCCTGGCGGGCTAGCAGCTGGCTCCGCTCCGCGGCGCGGGAGGGGCAGGGCGCAAACCTACGAAACGATACCCCCCCTGCCTTCGCGCACAGGGCAGATCTGACCACGGACTCCTCTCCCTCCTCGTCCTACTTCTCTACTTCTCCTCCTCTTCCTCCTCCTCCGCCTCCATCCTCCTCCCTGGGCCCCTCCTCCTCCTCCTCCTCCTCCTCCTCCTGCCCTTCCCTCCCTCCCCTCCTCGTCCTCGTAGTCGTCGTCGTCGTCGCCGTCCTCCTCCTCCTCCTCCTCCTCCTCCTCCTCCTCTCCTCCTCCTCCTCCTCGCTGCCTCCCTGGCCCCCCCCTCGGCCGTCGGTCGTCTTCTGCCGCGCGGGCAGGGGTGGCGGGGGCTGGCCCTTAGGCCGCCAAGACTGCCTGCGCGTGGCGCGCGCGCCGCGCCCCTTGCCGCAGGGGGGCCCAGGGGAGAGGGCATGGGGGGGGGGGCAGGGCGGGCGCGAGCACGGGCCGCACGGCGCCGCACGGGGACAGAGGCTGCGACACCCCGAGGGGAGGGGGGTCGCCTACTTGCGATTGTGATCATCCGCACCGTCCTTCTGGTGTTTATTATTATTCATCATTCTCAGTCTCGGCACTCTGCGGACGATCGAAGGAAACACCTAAAGATACGAGGTCGAGAGCGTAATCCTCCTCCTCCTCCTCCTTCTCCTCCTCCTCCTCCTCCGTATCCTCCTCCTCCTCCTCCTCCTCCTCAGGGACTCCTCCTCCTCTTGATATCCTCCGATCCTCCTCCTTCTCCTCTTCCTCCTCCTCCCCCCTCATCCTCCTACTCCGACTCCTCCTCCGCCTCCTCCTCCTCCTGACTCTTCGTCTTCCTCCTCCTCATGTTCTCGTCATCATCCCCCTCCTCCCCCCTCCTCCTCTCGAGCCTCTCCTCCTCCTCCTCCTCCTCCTCCTCCTCCTCCCCGGGGACCCCTCCCCCTCCTCCTCCTCCTCATCCTCCAACTCCCCCTTTCCTCCTCGTCCTCCTCTTCCTGTTCCTCAGCCTCTTCCTCCTCCGCCTCTCCCCTCGTCGTCGTCGTGGCGTCGTCACGTCGTCGTCCTCCTCCCTCCTCCTCGTCGTGCTCCCCCTCACCCTCATCATGAGGACCCTCATCCTCCTCATCCTCATCCTCCTCATCCTACTCCTCCTCGTCCTCCTCCTCATCATCGTCCTACTCATCGCCATCTGCCTCCTCATCCGCAGCATCATCTTTATCATCCTCCTCCACATCAGCCTGCTGTTCCTCGTCTTCCTCGTCTTCCTCCTCCTCATCGCCCCCCTCCTCGTTCGTCCTCCACCCCCTCGTCCTCCGCCTCCTCCACCTTCCTCCTCGGGCCGCGGGCTCCGCAGCGATCCTACCGGAGGATGTGCTTGCAGAGCTTCTTGTCGACCTTCCGCACGGTGCTCGCGTTGCCCGTGCGGATCTTCTCGAGCTCCTGGCAGGCGGGGGCGGCGCGGGCAGCGTCGGCATGAGCAGCAGCAGCGCAGTGAGAGTCGAAGAAGGAACGCGGGATGAGAGGAGTCTGAGAGGAGCAAGAGGGGCGAGAAAGGGCGGGGGGAGGACAAGGGAGAATAAAGAAATGCAAGGGAGGGCGGGAGGGAGAGTTGGAAGAAGAGGACGTCGACGCAGAGGAGCAGAGGAGGAGGAGGAGGAGGAGGAGGAGGAGGGGAGGGGGAGGGAAGAGGAGGAGGGAGCAGGAAGGTGATAAGCAGGAGGAGGAGGAGGGGGAGGAAGAGGAGGAAGAGGAAGGAAAGGAGGAGGAGGAGGAGGAGAAGGAGGAGGAGGAAGTGGAGTGGAAGAGAAGGGCCAACGCTTCGCGTCGGCACCCCCTCCCCTCGTCCTTCTTGTACTGGAGCATCATCTTCTTGGCCTCAACGCAGAACTCCTCGATGTCGGTCTGCGGCCGAGTGAGCTTGATCTTGCCGCCCTCGGCCGCGTCGATGGCCTCCTGCGTGACCCGAAGGAAAAACGACGCCACCTCGACCTTCACAGACTCCTGCTGATCAGGATCCACCTGGAGCGGGTTGTCCGCCAGCGTGATGACGAGGTCGAAGAAGCTCTGGCACAGCTCCATCGTAGGCGGCTCGCCTTTGGCCGTTGGGATGAGCCAGGCTGGGCAGGGGTTCTCGGAAGACGGCGAGCTCATTGAAGTCCCATCAAGGTAGATCTTGAAGCCGCCCACGTCCGCGCACGGAACGGAGAAAGCCGTTGGTTGCAACGTGGTCCGACCGAACATGTTGAAGGTAATGTCCGACGTGCTCGCGACAGTCGCCGTCGCGACAAAAGAGCCTTTCTTCGCATCAGGATCGTACACGATCTTGTCCCAACCCTTCTCGGTGTTCACGAGGCCGTCCTGGCGGAGGAGGAGGGCGAGTCGACGAGTCGACGAGGGCGGAGAGGGGAGGGGGGCGGGAGGATAAGTCAAGCCCCCATCCAGTCCTTCAGCGCACGGCGAGTGCACTGCTCCTCCAAGGTACTCATCAGCTTGAACATCTGGATCGGGCTCAACATAAGCTCCTCTGAACACACGCGTGGGTGAACAAGTCCATCATGTGAGGAGCTGACGTCGTCCTGTGTAACGGCCTCGGGCAATATCTGAGGCCAGCCTGTTGAGCGGTGAGCGTCAGCAAAGAAAGTCTGCCGCAGGCCCCAGTGGCTGTTCTGATCGACACCATCATCATCAACACCAGCGGCCAGGCGCTCAGCCTCGGCGCGGGCGGCCTCGTCCTTGTGTTCTGCTCCTGACGCAAGCTGATCGCGAACGCTCTGAACCACTGTAGTCAACTTTGGCGTCGCTGGCTCCTTCGGCCCCTTCTGCCCCTCCGAGTTGTCCGACGTGGTCGCCCCCGACTTCTCAGCGTGCCCTTTGCCAGCGCTGGCGCCAGTGTCGGGCTTGACCGTCAAGAGCACGGTGTCGACGTTGCTGGCCCACCTCTTCTGAGCCACAGTGTCGTCTGTGATGTTCGCAACGATCTGCGCGACTTCGATCATGTGAAGCCACATTGCAGTCCGCTTGGGGCCAGCTGTCTGGACGTCCAGCGACGCCAGGTCGTCGATCCTCTCTTGCTTCCCCTGCATGTACGACAGCGCCTGGGACGTCTCTGCATCTCCGAGGCCTTCAGGATCCCCAACCGTCTTGACAAGGACCTGCAAGGTGTAGATCGCACGGAGCTTGAGGAATGACTCCATGGCAGGTTCGTCGCCAAAGACATCGTCGAGCGGCTTGGGGATGCCTTTGCTGGCCCTCTCCCTGCACAACGCAGCAGCGCTCATGCAGGCATCGATCCACTTCCGAGGCAGCAACGCGTCCAGGACCACGGTGACCTCCGTCAAGACCGTCTGGATGAAAGCCTTCGTGTCCCGCTTGTCCCCCTGCTCAGACTTCTTCGTGAGCTCGGACTCCAGGTACTGTGAGTTGATCTGCTCCACGGTGGACGAGACGCAGCGGTGGTACTTCGGGGGCAACGAGGAGAGCTTGCCCATGAACTCCTTGAGTCCTGCGCACAAGCCCTCGGAAGCGAGCATCTCGTCCTCGAACGATTGCAACCGTATGGCCAGCGTCTTCTGCGAATCCGTCGCCTCCGCCTCCGCGCCGACGACGACAGCACCGCTCGCGCCAGGCGGACTGGACCCCTCGGCCAGCACGTCGAAGAACATCCCCGCGGTGGTCTTGGAAGACGCTTGGGCACATCGACTGCGGCGAACAGCTGCTTGAAGCATGGGCCGCAATTTTGACCAACTGGTGTACAGGCCAGTAGACACAGCCAGGGAGCCACTGATGCCGAACTCCAACGAGAGGCTGATCATCGAGATCTTGTCCTCCCTCCTGACCATGGCCTCGCGCCCCTGAACAGCGTGGTCCAGGGCAGCAAACACGTCGTCCAAGAACAACTTATCTACGCCATCAGGGCGCTTGATCTTGAAGATCTCTGCGGGGACATCGCCGCTCGTCGTCGTCGTCTTGCCCGAGATCCTCGTCCGCCCGCTGGCTCCGCCGCGGCCGCCGCCCTCGGAAGGCGGGCGGGGGGCCGAGGGGGGGGCGCCGCCCGCGGACAGGGGGGGGGGGAGGGGGCCGGGGAGGGGTGGGGGAAGAAGGACCAGGAGAGAAGGAGGAGGGGGAGGAGGAGGAAGAGGATGAGGAGGCGGAGGAGGAGGAGGGAGGGAGGAGGTGCTGAGGCGACAGGGGTGGTCCAGGGCGGAGGAGGATGAGGAAGAGCGGGGCTGACAAGAAGGAAGATGGAGGAGGAAAGAAGTGAGGAGGGCGAGGGGGCGGAGGAGGGGGGGGGAGGAGTCGGAGGAGGAGGAGGGATGGAGGAGGAGGAGGGGGGGGGGAGGAGGACGGAGGAGGAGGAGGAGGAGAGGAGGAGGAGGAGGGAGGAGGAGGAGGAGGAGGAGGAGGAGAGGAGGAGGAGGAGGAGGAGGGGGCCCTTTGAAATCCCTTCATTATCGTACCCTCCTCTGCCCCGCCCCCGGGCCACCCACCCCCTCCCTACTGCCCCTCCTCGTTCTCGTTCTCCCCCTCGTTTGCGCCGACCCTTACTCCTGCTCCTCCTTGTGCCGCGCTCACAATCCTCCAATCCTCCACCTCCCGCACCCCCCCTCCCCCTGTTGCCCCGGGGGCGCAAGTGGGCCCGGGGACCCCCGGGGAGGCTGCGAGGCGACGCCTTCGACTGCTCCGAGCTGGCGACCTCCGCGGCGGCTCCTGACGAGCCCGAGGCTGCGCCAGCGTTGCTGGCTTTGCCTGGCCCCTTCGCCTCCGCGGCCTTCGGCTGCCCCGGCTGCCCCCCCTGGTTCGCGCGCTTCTGCTTCTCCAGGATGTCGCGCACCCTGTTGGCCAAGACGTCGGACTTCCTCGGCTCCTCTTGGGCGTGGGTTGGCACTGTCCCATTTCGTACATGTCCTACTCCGAGCAGCCTCCGCCTCCTCCCCCTACTCCTCTCCTCCTCCTCCTCCTCCTCCTCCTCCTCCTCCTCCTC